GGACGTCACGAGTGCGCTGCTGCTGCTGCTGCTGCTGCTGCTGGCGCTGACCACCACCGGAGCTGACCCTCTGCGCAGCGCCACCCCGACCAGCTCCACCTCCTCCGCCGCCTCCTCCTCCACCGCCGCCACCTCCGCTCCCTCCGCCACCGCCGCTGCCGACTGCGCCTCCACTGCCGCCACCTACACCTCCACCCCCGCCACCACCCCCACCGCCACCCCCACCTCCTCCACCGCCTCCACTGCCGCCTCCACCGCCCCCGCTAGCTCCTCCAGCGCCCCTGCCCCCCTTGCCCCTGCCAGGGCGGCGTCTCCCGCTAGGGGTAGACGCTGCCCCAACCGACTCCAAACCAGCGAGGTCGGCCGCAGCAGCAGAGGCAACAGAGGGCAAAAGAGGGGAGGGGGAACACCCCTCAAAGATGGGGGTGCGAGGGTCACCACGAGAGGCTCCTACAGCGACTATGCTCTTTTCTGCTGCTAGGAGGGCCTTCTCGAGGAGGTCAACGGTGAGAGTGGTGGGACAAACCGAGAGGAAGTGGTCCCTGACTACGCGAAGGGAGTCAGGGAGACGGGTGACTATGTAGTAGAGGGTGATGTACATGGGGGGGGGGGTCTTGGCGCAGAACTCAGCAGGAAGCGCAGCGCGGTAGCGAGTGTCACTAGTGCGGAGGTGCGTAATGAGGTCAGCGACTGTGGGAAAGGCAGCAAGGTCAGGGAAGAGGTACGGTAGCATGTGGCGGCTCAGTGCAGCAGTGGCAGGGGAGGAGTAGCGTGCAACTACAGCGTCGTACAAGGTCTGAGCACTCTTGTACTGGCTAAAGTGCGCACGCTCAGAGGTAGGTAAGTGGCGACGCACAGCAAGACGTGCAGCAGCATCGCGCGTGGCCCACTGTGAGCGAACAGTGGCGTCAGCATCAGCAGCGGGGGCAGGAGAGGCACCAGAAGTGAGGTAAAAGAGGGAGAGGCCGTCTGCTCTGTCGCACTGTAAGAAAAGCTGCAGGTCATCTATCCAGACGTCAAAGTCAATGGCCCGACCCTCAGCGTCAAAAGCGAGGACACTAGGGGTAGCCATGACAGCAGTAGACTAGCAGTGCAAACAGTAGGGTGAGGGCAGTGCTGTGAGAGAGGCGCTGCTCTTACCGGACAGGGCGGTTCTGGCGGCTCGGCTGCAGGGCGGCTCGGCGACTCGACGGCTGGGCGGCGCGGCTGCTCGGCGGCTCGGCGGCTCGGCGGCTGGGCGGCTGGGCGGCTCGGCGGCTGGGCGGCTCGGCTGCTGGGCGGCTCGGCGGCTGGGCGGCTCGGTTGCTGGGCGGCTCGGCGGCTCAGCGGCTGGGCTGCTCGGTTGCTGGGCGGCTCGGCGGGTGGGCTGCTCGTAGGAGTAGGCGCGGGGGGCCGTAGGAGCAGGCGCCGGGGCCGTAGGAGCAGGGGCCGGAGGCCGCTAGGGCGGCGGATCGGGGCCGCGAAGGCGGCGGATCGGGGCCGCGAGGGCGGCGGAGTAGGGGCCGCGAGCGCGGCGGAGAAGGGGCCGCGAGGGCGGCGGATCGGGGCCGCGAGGGCGGCGAATCGGGGTCGCGAGGGCGGCGGAGTAGGGGCCGCGAGGGCGGCGGATCGGGGCCGCGAAGGGCGGCGGATCGGGGCCGCAAGGGCGGCGGAGCGGGGCCGCGAGGGCGGCGGATCGGGGCCGCGAAGGGCGGCGGATCGGGGCCGCGAGGGCGGCGGAGCGGGGCCGCGAGGGCGGCGGATAGGGGCCGCGAGCGCGGCGGAGAAGGGGCCGCGAGGGCGGCGGATCGGGGCCGCGAAGGGCGGCGGATCGGGGCCGCGAGGGCGGCGGATCGGGGCCGCGAGGGCGGCGGAGTAGGGGCCGCGAAGGGCGGCGGATAGAGCCGCGAGGGCGGCTCGAAGGGGCCGCGAGGGCGGCGCTAAGGGGCCGCTAGGGCGGCGCGAGAGAGGGGAGCGCGACTCGGGCAGGGGCTGAGTGCGCTCCGGGCAGGAAAAAAAAAAAACGGTGGGCCCTAGGAACAGTTCCCACAGGGGAACCTGCTCGATACCATGAGAAGAAACAAGGAATGAATGAACTATGAATGAATTGAGTACAAGTAATAACCCTAATTGGGTTGTACCCCTTATGGGCTACCCCACTATAGCCTACACAATATGCATGAGCTATAATGTTCTGACAGTCCTCTCGCCAGCGCAAAGCAGGACTCTTGCAGCCAATTCCACCGCCCGACCGCCCTTGGCAAGTAGTTACCATGGACTTCATCATGGCTTTACCGCGCATAGTTAGAGATCACGACGCCATCTTCGTGGTAGTGGATAAGTTTTCTCGAGCAGCGCACTTCATCCCCACGCACGGCAAGGTCACAGCAGAGGAAGCCGCGACGCTGTTCGTAGATAACGTAGTCCGACTGCACGGGGTTCCCGATTCCATCATCTCAGACCGCGACCCTCGTTTCACTTCAAAGTTCTGGAAGCAGCTTTTCGCACTGTTTGGGACTCGCTTAGCCATATCGTCTGCGTGCCATCCAGAGACAGACGGACAGACAGAGCGTGTGAACCAGACCTTGGAGCAGATTCTTCGCAACATCACGATGCACAACGCAGCCGCATGGGACAAGAAGCTGAGCATGGCCGAGTTCGCCTACAACAACACGCACCACTCGTCCACATGCATGTCACCGTTCTTTGCACTTTACGGTCAGCACCATAATGTCCCCACTCGTGTCGATCTCACACCCACTGTCCCTCGTGCGGACAACTTCCACCAGCATCTCACATTCATCCATGATCACATGAGGAAGCACCTTGAGCTCGCAAATGCACGCATGGCACGCACCACCAACCGCAGTCGTCGTGAGGTGTCGTTCGCAGTCGGCGACCGTGTTCTCTTGGATAGCCGCAACCTCCGACTGCCACAGGACAGCAAGCTTCGTCCACGTTTCATTGGTCCATTCGTCATTGAGCACGCACTTGGTCCAGTCGCATACCGCCTCCGCCTTCCCGCTCATTTCCGCATGCACCCGTGATTCCACGTGTCTCTTCTTCGACCTTACACCGATCCCAACGCCACCTTCTCGGGCCGTGATCGCAATCCACTGCCGGTAGCTGTTGACACCGACGAGCCCGACTACCAGATCCAGCGCATCCTCAGGCACCGTCGCCGTCTGCAGGGGGGTGTCCCTTTCATCGACTTCTTGGTTCGTTGGCGTGGTTACGACGCAGCCGACGACAGCTGGGTTCCTTCGTCCTCACTGTCTCCTGACAACGCTTACCTCCAAGCGTACCTTCAGTCTGCAGGCGCCGCGTACGTCGCCTCCTTGGGAGGGGGGTAGTGTTAAGGGGGGATTTACTGTTCCCTTTGAACAGTACTTTCCAACTTACCCTTATCCTTATCTTCCTTGATTTCCTTGTGCCACGTGGCACTCTACTTTTCTTGCTTCTACTTTCTAGTCCCACGAAGTACTTTCCATCATTCGATCTTGCATGCTATATCAACCTTGCTTGTATTCCCCAATATCAACAAATTCTCATTCAACTCTTCTTCAATTACTCAGTAACTTCTTCGCCTATTTCGCTAATAGTTCTTTCGCCAAAGTCTTCCGCCGCGTTTCATCCTCGACTTAGTCGACCCCGCTAATTCTTTAGCGGACTTAGGCCGTCGGGCCTAACAAATAGCAACGATGGTATGTGTAAGTGCATATGACCTTAGTGGAAAGGCAGGCATCTAGATAACTGTCCGCCGTGGATGCAGATCTGGACTCATCTGATGTATCCTCGTCATTATCCACACAAATTCAAATCTCTGAAAAACAGCACCATCTTTTCTTTTGCCTGCGGTCTGCGCACCAGCGCTTCCAGAAGCCGCACCATCTCTTGCCTGCTCTTGTCAGCACCGCCAAGGGCAGACGACCAAGGTTCGTCAAAACTTGATTGCTGATTGGGTGAATCGGGCTGAACAAATCAAGGGCGCACCTCCCGCTAGCCACTGACCTGCCCAGTCTTGGAACCTGTGCGCAGACTCTCCAGGTGATGACGACGAGGCGACTCGCGCAGGCGGATTCCGCAACGTAGAATTCGTTCCCCCCAAACATCTCCTCAACTCCATAGCCTGATCTGGTTGGTTGAAACGCACAACCTGGATTTCCCCCAGAACCACCGCCAACCACATGTGGCGGAATCCCCAAGGACAGACAAATCGAGGGCATACCCAGAAACAGGACCAATGGCACACCAAAAAACACTCTGCCGGTGGGTATGTAGGTGAATAATGATTTGTAAAGCTAAAATTGTAGGTCAATTGAGGGTGTATTGGGCGAAAATGGTACACTTGGGGGAGGCAAGTCATTTTTTGGGGTTGCCCATTTTGCAAAGCAGGTTAGAAATAAATAATCATTACACCACTGAGCTTGTTGATGGCTGTCGTCAGGACCGAGGCAGATCAGTGACAGCCAAGGGAAAACTGTACTTCCCCAGGCTGTTTCCCCTCCCATACCCCCATTCTCCATTCCCGCTCAGCTGACCGACCACCGTCAAAGGGCTTGCTCTTCCCCTTTGACCCACCGTGATCGCGACAGCCTTCATTCCAAACGTCGGCTTCTCTCACCCGCGTTTGTCAAATCTGTCCGCAGTAGCAGTCAGGCACCCACTGGGTTGTGCATGGAGTCTGTGTAGACGTGTACTTGGACGTATTTCAGACAGCGTGACATTTGCCTTGAACCGTTGTGGTCTTGCCAATCGCCCGTCAGCATTTGTTGTCAATAGCGGACTAGGGTGTCTACTACGGGTCACTCTTTCCTTGAACGTGCTGTGGCTGCTGCCTGACCAGATCAGTGCGGGGAGCTAGAGAAAGCACCTCACCATCCTTTATTGTTTCGGATCTCGCCTTTTGGTAAGACCACATGCCATGGACGACATTTCTACGTAAGCATTCCGAGTGCTGCTAAACAAGCAAGCCGCAGCTTGGGATTAAAAAGCAGGGCTGTCTCACGGCCCCACCAACTATGTGGAGACTGCGAGAGACGAAGGTGGGTCGGGTGGTATGGCGCGCGTGGTGCCTGGCCGAGGTGTGTTTCAGCACCGTGCTGCACCTCACGTACGCCGCGTGCATGGTGTACTGGGCTCTGCTCACCGACCTCATCGCCGCTATCTCATCCACCGTCACCGACGCGTCGTTTTTCCCCCGAGTCTTCCTCAAGCTGCTCAAGGCCGGATGGACCTGCTGCACCTCCCCGTGCCGCCTCTATGCCAAGGCATGCAAGGCGTCAGCTTACCCCCTCCCTTCAATGCCCAACAGCAGTAGCAGTGGCGGATGGTTTGGCGACCATACAAACGAATCGGTCAGATCTCATCATGCATCCTGCAGTGGCGCCCATCTTGGTGGTCCTCCATCTGATGCTGCTGCAGATGCTGCCGCGAACAGCAGCATCGCAGATCCTCCGGCTTCTGAAGGCGTCGATTGGCTGGTGGAGTCGCAGGCCCGAATGGGACCGGAAGGCTGTCTGCAGACCGACATCCCGCTGTCGCAAGGCGAGCAGCAGGAGCAGAAGAGGCGGCAGCAGCTGCGATGGCGGAAACGGCTGACCGCGACGTTCCGCAGCCGCTACACCAAATCGGCTTCTGCTGTCGAGACGTCCCGGAATGCTACTGCGGGTGCAGGCGTCGGTCGGAAAGGAAGCGCTGTCAACGGAAAGGGTATGGACGCCGCGGATGGAGTAGCGTCGCCGTGCTCGCCTGACGCCGTCACTCCCATCGTGCTGGTTCATGGAATCTTCGGGTTCGGCCACGGGGTAAGCGATACTTCTCGTGCAAGTGAGTGTGGAGCGTCAGCTTCAATCGTGTGTTTCAACCGTGTGTGCTGGGCCTAGGGAACGTGGCTGTGTTTTAGTAGTTGAGTCAGGGACGTTCGTATTTTGTTGTTGCAAAAGACTGAAATCCTCACACACAAGCGATTGAAGTCACACGCTCAATCAGTCGTCTCGCCCCTCCCCTGTCATTCACTCCACTTTTCAACCCCTCTACGCCCATTTGCTCAACCTAACCATTGCCGCCGAGCCTCTCGCAGAAGTTCGGCGGCATATCGTACTTCGGCGGCGCGGAGTACCGGCACGACAAGGTGCTGGTGCCGGACCTGGGATCGCTCACGAGCATTCACGACCGAGCCAGGGACCTCTTTTACTACCTCAAGGGCGGCACCGTCGACTATGGCGTCGAGCACAGCGCCGCTTGTGGCCACGACCGCTTCGGCAAGACATACGCGCAAGGTGAGTGGTGTCTGTGGCACGCATGAAAAGGAGGTTACTGGACCTGTGTGATTTTTCGCAGCACTTCGTGCTTCTGAGTCCCACCCGGCCCACACTCCCCGTTCCCCTGATTCGCCTCCGCTCTCCTCTTTTCGTGACTTTTCTCCTCGTGCTTTCCTTCCTCGTATTCCTGTCTGTGCGCTTCAAACTCGGCACTGTCTTGGCGTGCGTGCGCGTTGTGTGTGCGCTTGGCTAACAGGCAAGCACCCGCTGTGGGACGCGCAGCACCCGATACACCTGGTGGCGCACTCGTCCGGCGTGCAGGCCGCCAGGATGCTACAGCACATGCTCCATAACAAGGTGCGCGCAGACAGAGGGGAGTTAGGGGAGGGGGAGATCACTTGGGGAAGCGTGCTGGATGAGGCGATTGGGCTTGAGTTCCGAGATGGCTTGGGTTTGGGAGGAGATGGGCTGGGATGTCGGGCGATGGTGGGATAGAGTTAACGAGGGTGAGGAGGCTGGGTTGCTACTATCTCGGGGCCGCTAGGTTTTCCAGTGCCTCGTCTAAGTCTGGATAGGGCACACGGCAGAGCTTCGTGTGTCACATGTACAACATTTGTCACGTCTCCTGTGCTCCCTCCCCCGCGTGTCTATCCTCTGCCATGCCGAGATGCGCGTATCAAGCTCTGCGTGTGACTCGTATTTCTCTGCGTGGCGCGTGCAGGAGTTCGAGGGGTACGACGACACGAGTGCGGACTGGGTGGCATCCATCACATCGCTGTCCGGTGCGCTAAACGGCACCACGCGCGTCTACATCGATGGCCTCTCGTACGCCCTGCTCTCCGCCCTGCTCTCCGCCCTTCGTGCCGCCCTATTCGCTGCCCTGCTCCCGCGTCCATCTCGCCTCTCATGTCTTACCTCCAATGACTATAAATATCATCGTTTTCGCTTGCTCCGAATGCCAATGCTTTCATTTTTCATCAACGCTACCTCCCCTCCCTCTTTCCCCACTCTTCCTTCTCTGCGCATTTCCTAAAAATCTCCCTTCCCCCCCACCCTTCCTCCCCTCCCACCACACCCCATCCGCTCCCCTCGCCCGTCCCCCCTCGCCATTGCAGCGTGCGCGACGGCGTGACGATGCGCCCCATGTGCCTGCTGCAGGTGCTGCGCATCGGCTCCATCATATTCGAGTGGCTCGACATCGCCCCGCTTAAAGCCTTCTACTCCTTTGGCTTCGACCACTTCCCGCTCTCCTGGCGCCGCGTGGGCCTCTGGGGGCTCGTGAAGGCGCTGGCGGGGAAGACAGGGCCGTTCGCGTCGGGCGACTGGATGCTGCCAGACCTGAGTCTGCACCACAGCATGGAGCTTAACAAGAAGCTGCAGACGCACCCCAACACCTACTACTTCAGGTCAGGCTCAGGGCACAAGGGCTCGTGGGACTTGCGGGCTTGCCGATACTTCCCTGAGCTAGTGCCTGACCTGCTTTTCCCTTGGTCTCCCCTTCTCTGCTTTTTCATTCAAATTCTCAGCCTTCCCTTCTCCTCCATCCCTCCTCCCTCCTCCCCCCTCCCTACTCCCCATTCTCTCTCCCCCCCCCCCTCTTCACTGCGCGCACAGCTATGCGACAGTGAAGACACGCAATCTGATGGGATGGGTGGTGCCCGCGGCTCTCTCCATCCACCCCATCTTCACCCTCCGCTCGCTGCAGCTGTGCCTATGGCGCCTCCCCAAACACGCACCTAAACCCTACCCTACCTACCGGTAGGTCCCCGTCCTCCCCCTCTCATCCTGGTCCCACCCTTTCGCGGGTTGACGCATTGAAGAACCTCGATGCCCTTCCTTTCAACCCTCCTTGCTCACCAATCTTCCTTTCCCTCGTTCACTCGCCTGTCGGTCCTCTCCTCGTTTTCTCCTTATCCCCTCGTTGCCCCTCGCCGTCTTCCAGCGACAAGGACTGGTGGCACAACGACGGTGCGCTCAACACCATCTCCATGCTCTACCCGCGCTTCCCCACGCCACAGCCGCACTCGCCCCTCCCCCGCATGCAGCCCTCGCAGGGCACCCCACCATACAAGCCAGGCATCTGGTAAGTGCCCCTTTCCCTCCCCCCCCCCCCCCCCCCTGCAACTGCTCCCTTGCACACACTCGCCCTGACGCCTCCTGCTGCTTTACCCTCCTGCAGCCTCATCCGCCGCCTTCCCCTCACACATCTGCTCTGCTGTTAGAATACTTCCACATACTGTTCCTGTCTCCGCTTTGCTCTGGGGCGCTGTTATGGTGTGTTGTGGCGTGGCGTGGCGGGGTGTGATATCATATGTTCATGCTATGCTGTGCTGCACTCTGTGTGTGCAGGTACTTCTCCCTCCTGGAGGCAGATCACATCCTGTTCATCATCAGCCGGCAGCGTGCGGGCGTGCGCTTTGACGTGCTCTACGACTCCATCTTCCACCGCTGCCGCACCGACCTCACTGCCCTCTCCATCATCGCCTCTGCTGACGCCAATGCCGCCCCCTCCGGCTCGCTTACTGCTCAGACTGCTGCTGCTGTTGCTGCTGCAGATGGAGGATGGCTGGGGGCTGAGCAGGGTCAGGTGTCGGGGGAGGGAGAGGAGGTGCAGGAGGGAGTGGGGTTGGCGTTGAGTGAAGTGGGGGCAAAGGTGAACAGTGGTGCTGGGACCACCACGTCTCGTTCATATCGCCTTGTCACTTCCTCCTCCACGCCCTCCTTTTTGCCCTCCAATGTTGCTTCGCCACGTGGCAAGTGCGAGAAGGCTGGAGGTGCAGTTTCAGGGGCAGGGCTTGGCTTAGATGGTGGCAGGGCAGGGGGTAAGTGCAGAGAGATCAGTGAAAACGGGGTGGTGGATGGGGAGGAGGGCAGCACAGAGAGTGTGCTTGAGTGGGCTCCCCAGTACAAGTGGGCTGTTGGTGAGAATGAAGTGGAGGAAGTGGAGGAGGGGAAAGAGATGGGGTACTACCAGTACCAGGAGCAGGAGGCGCAGGGTGCGAGGGTAGACGGGTGCCATGAGTGCGACAGGCAGCAGAAGGCACTGGCAGCAGTGGTGGATCTATTTGGTGCGCCGCTCACCAATGTGTGCGTGTGCAGCTTGAGGAATGGCCGTGGCGGCAGTGGGAGCAGGAGTGGCAGCGGGATGCGAAGCACCATGAGCCTGGACTTTCTTGGGGACATGTGGTCGTGGAATGGAGGGAAGGACGTGAGCAGCGGTCGCACCAGAAAGGGAAAGGAAAACACGGCCAGAATAAGAAAGGTTAGCTGGTGGGGAGGAACAGGCCTTCAGAAGCACAAGCATGAATTGCTGTCCTTGGAAGGGGAGGAGCAGGATGGTGGGAGCACTGCTGTTCACTGCGGTGCTGGGGGTGTGACGGCTCTTGACTGGGGCTGTATGCCACCTCAGCACATTGAGTAGTGTGCTGTGCCTGCGTGTGTAACTTGGTGTTCTTATTATTTTGTGTCTGCTTGTTTGTTCTGGCGAGAAGCTTTATACACTAGCGAATCATGTTGTCTCAATGAGAAGTTTTGCATTAATTGTTTTATGAAAATTAGACCCGGAGGGACACACACTTGCATGCAAGTGCAACTGGTCCGTACCTTCTAAATTATCAAGGTTGAAAACCATCTGTGTATCACACCCTACGTAACTCTTACGTGAATACACCTATGTATATGGCTAGAAAGGATACGGATCCAGCTTGCATCGCATACACTCCGCGGTCAAGTTTCCTGTACTGTCAGATGGCATGGCAGGCTTGCCACTGTCGTGTCGTGCCGATTACGAAAAGCGCGTGACCAGTCTTCTAGAAGCACCACGCGCACCGCACACCACCTACTTCACAACCAGAACAGATAAGGCATCCCCACTCACACAGCAACATTCTCGAACCGTCAGTTCGCTTGTTCTCGCAAGCCTGCCTCGCGCATTTCCCTCTCTTCGCATTCTCGTGCGCTGCGTCGGACTCCGCCGGCATTTGGCCAGAACGCTGTTCTGATCGGATTGTTTCTCTCCTCTTATCATCTCCTCTCGACCTCCCGCTAGCGCATTTCGACACCGCCTTTCGACACCTCCGGATCTCCCCTACCGTCCGCCATGCCACTCTCGAAGCATCGCGACTGCCCGCGAGCGCCGCACATGCATCTCCTCGCGCTCGCCCTCCTCGCGCTGCTCTCCCTCCCCGCCGTTCTCATCTCCGCCGCCGCGTCCCGCACGCCCGCGCAGGCGGAGGAGCGCGCGGAGATGAAGCGCAAGCTGAACGAGGTGGGTGCGCGGCACCCGATCGTGGTGGTGGGGCGGTCGTACTGCCGCGATACCCGGCGAATGCGGGCGCTGATGGAAGGGCTTGCGAGCGACTCGGGCGGGACTATTTGGCCGGTGAACGTTGACGGCACCGAGGAAGGGCCAGGCATCGAGAATGCCGCGGAGGTCGTCTACGGCACCACCGCCATGCCGCAGGTGCGTGCGCCGCTGCGCGCAGGTGGGGGGTTTTGGTGCGCGCAGGTAGGTGGTTTGGTGCGCGCATATGGGGAATTTCGTGCGCGCATATGGGGAATCTCGTGCGCGCATATGGGGAATGTGGTGCGCAAATTTGGGAGGGGACGAGGCGCACTGCTCATTCCATGCCATGCACCCCATCACTGAAGAAAAATATCACCATAGCATCAAATCAGGCTGCAGGTTGACTCAAAGCAAGTGCCAATGCTTGCCAGTAAGCGCCTGTGCAAGCAATGCCATGTCAATGCTCCCCCCTGCTCAGCGGCACACGCTGATTTTGCCATTTCAGTCAGCCATGCACTCCTAGTGCCGACCACGTCAGATCGAGGTCTTGGGTTCAGATGGGGCTGATTCAACCGTGCACCAGAAACCGGCCGCTTTGCATTGCATGGGCTCAAACGGGGTGCATTGGCAGGCAGGCAGCTTCGCCTGGGCTTGCGCGGGAGGCATTCTGTTGTGTGCTGAGAGAAGTTTCTGGACGTGCATAGGTAGGAGACAAGACCATACCAGCTCTCCCTCAATGCCGCATCCCTGGCTGCTGAAACTTCCACCACAGTGCACCTGACCCTGCTCCCATATGCTCTGTTCGCTCCTCATGTGCTCCACCTAATTCCTTGCTCCCTCTGCTCTGCTCCCTCTTCGGCCTGTGCTGACGGCCCCACCAGGTGTTCATAGGCGGGCGGTACGTGGGGGGCAAGGAGCAGGTGATGGACCTGCATGAGCGCGGCAAGCTCAAGCCCATGGTGGACCGCGCTCTCGGCTCAGGCAGGGAGCTGTGAGAGGACCCTGGGAGCATATTACTGTCCATCAGTGGCTCTCATCAAGTGTTGGAGTAGGGAAGCTGTTCAGTAATTTGCGGTGTTTATGCGATGGTGTTTTTATTTACGGTATTGGATCATGATGTTAGCATTGGCTAAGAACTTGTTTCCAGCTCGGACCGGACTGGTTCTGTCCCCTTCCACCCCCGCTAAGTAACAACATTGACTGGCCAGCAGTCAATGGGCGGGGGTGGGCAGAGCCAGTCCCTTGTAGGGCACCTGCACGTCTTGGTCCTGACAATGCTTAAGGCCCAGCCTTCTTCTCTGCCTGTGCAGTGCACTGCCAGTCCATGCCGGGGTGGGCATGGATGGCATGCTGCCAGTCCATGCTCCACTCCACTGGCTTGCTTCCATTCCGTGGTCCATTCCGTGGTGGGGCATGTAGAGCCACAACCTGTGTAGGCAGAGAATGAAGCTCCATGGTTGAGTGCACATTTAGGGCACATTCCTGTGGGGACACTTGTGTCTCAATCACTTTGTGACACCCAAAAACAACATAAACTGTGTTGTGTCCCAAATGCGAATCGGCTTTCGGCGACTTGTACTGTATTTATTATTGGTCAGCGTGAAACGCGCTGACATCGCTGTCGAATTGTGAAACGACCCGTCATTGTTAAAGAATCGCACGCGACTCGAAATGCCCGACACGACCACATGCACCTGGACATCCGAAAATGCCAATTTTGCGAGGGAAAAGATCCCGCGCATCGAAACCACGCCCCTGCTCGGAGGTTGAAAATACGGGTGTACTGTCACCCAGTCAAATGCACACACCTGTACATCTCTTTTTGATCCCCGCCAGTGAAACGTGTCCAACTGAACCTGCCAATATGTCGCCCTACATCGCGGTACATTCGATGTTTGTGACACAACATTGGGAAAATTAACAGGCGCGACTCGGGAAAACGGGGATTGAGACACAAGTGTCCCCACAGGAATGTACCCTTAGATATCATGTGCTTGTAGACCCATTGGTATGCTTTTGTAGACAGAATGCATAATGTTTTGCAAATGAGAGTAGAAGTGATGTTGAGAAAACCCATTGATGGATTTAACGGTACACTTCTATGCTTGAAACAATTGATGTACACACACTATCCACTGTCCTAATGCCACGTCATATTCACGACGGAGTTCGTCCTTACAACATCGTGTCAGGAGACGTCCGCAGAGAATGGGTGGATGCACGGTGGGTCACTCTCGGGAGAGGCAGGACTTGCATGGGTGGGGATGCTCACGGCGGAGGAGGCGGCGGTGGAGGGTACATCTTTGGCGGAGAAGGTCACCTGTGCGGGCGGAGGGGCATCGGCGGACGGGCAGAGGAGCCAAGGAAGCCCCCCCGGGGAGGTTCGGCTGTTGGTGATGGGGTCGATGGCGGTGGCGCTGCTGTGTGCGTTGATTGCCCGACTAGCAAGTGGACCAGTCATGTGCCGAGATGGAGACAGAGAAAGACAGATGGAGCTGCTAATGCCCGCTTGCAACCTGGTGGCGCACGGAGCGGCAGAGGAGGGAGAAAAGGAGGGGGGGGGCGAATGGAAGGAAGGGAGAGGGTGGAGAAGGGAGAGCGGAAAGGGGATGGGAAAGGGGACGTGGAGCGGGAGGGGAAGAAAGGTTGACGAACAGACCTTCCTTCTCTTATCATCCACCATCAACCGAAAATCAATGCGAATAGAAACCACAAAAATGCAATCCCGATCCTCCTTTTCACAATTTGCAGTGCTTGCATCGGATCTCTCTGCCTTCCACACCCCCCTCTTGCCACTGAGCACTCCCACGGCCCAGCAACCCCCACGGCCCAGCTCTCCCTCTCCCTCTCCCTCTCCCTCTCCCCCCACTCTCACACGGCGCGCACCTTCCAGTCCGCGGCGTCCATGACCGCAACGTCCTCGCGCCCCGCCAGCGCGCACATCGCCTCCTGCTCCGCCGCGCTCGTCACGCGCACCCACACCGCCACCCTCTCCCCCCCCGCGCCGTACACCGCCGCGCCTCTCCGCGTCACCACGCGCAACCCAGTTCTGCCGCGCGGCAACGCGTGGCGACTGGGGGCGGGAGAAGGGGGGAGGAGGGGAAGGACGCGAGGGCGGCGAGGGGAGGTGGAAAGATAGGTGGTTTGGAGGTGCTGGGGAGTGACGTGACGGAATGACGTTTAAAGTCGACTTAAGAGCGACGCGGCTGCATGGGACGAAGTGGAATGACAGTGCGAGAATGGCACAGCACACCGCACAGCATGTGAACCCGCCGCATCACATACTCTCAAAGAATTGACGCGCCTCTTCCACTGAGTTCACCCTCCCCCTCCACCATCTCCTCCCCGTCCTTCCCGCCCTTGCGCTTCCCCTTCTTCCCCGCTCCGCTCTCCCCTTCTTCCGCCGCGCCGACCACCACCACCGTCCCCCATTCCGCCTCCAGCGCTGCCGTCACCATCTCCTTTGCTTGCGTCATCACCCCCACCTTCTTCTCGCCGCCGACGGGGGCACCCGTCGCCACACGTTATCGCGCTCGCTATCGCATCCGTCGCTTTAGCTGTGGTCATCGGTCGACGTGCGATACCATGCGAAAAGCCACCCGCTGATCGCTTGATTTGACGCTTCGATCGTAACGAGAATGTTGCCAAGTTCTCGCCCAGAACCGAGTTTGTGGCGCCGGTAAAGCGTTCGCGTGCAAGCGAGTGCTGGCTGAAATGCGGTAAAGCGGAAGCGAGCGGCGAAGGAGGGAGAGACGGAGGAAGTGAAGGGAGAGAGGCGGGAAAGCGGTTGAGCTTGATGAGAAGGATGTGGAAGAGGCGTGGGGATCATGGCGGAAGCAGTCGAAGAGGGGAATTTGAGAAGCAGGATGGGCACCTCGGGATTCACACAACCTCGAAATTCCTTTCACGGGCATGGTGTTTCTGTTTCACACAGCAACGGTTTTGTCAGGTGCTTTACGGTGCTAGTAGCTTGGTCAACTCACCGCTTCTTACCCCGAAAACACTTACTGAACCGTACTGACAGTGTTGGCGGAGATTGGCGGGGGACGACCCCGAGGATGTGGGTTGGACTTCTCAGCGCACTGCAAACCCGCTGGAATTGTCCGAACCGTGTTCAACCAGATTCGACCATCCGTCACATATCCGACATACCTGCGTTTTCCCTTTCCACGCCCTCCATATCTGCGCATACGCAGGCTGACAAAGCGTCTCGCCAAGCTACGCTAAAACATTTCGCGAACCACGTTACCAGGCCTCTCGACAACCTGACAATCACCCAACCCAATCACAACACGAGCTAGCGAAACCCATCTCACGACAGAAGTTACCTGTGAGCCCTCCAGTTCGCGAGCACGTCTTCTCCTTCAGGCGGGAGATGATTTTAGAGCTCCTCCGTTCCCTCTTTCACACTGCCGCTTCTGTCAGACGACCCTAACAAAACTTCGTTTCCCTCCCACCTCTGCTGCCTACGCCGCCTTCTACGCATTAGAGCAGCTCTTCCCATCACGCTTCGGGAAAAGATCGGCGCCGGTTGGATTAGCGGCTGGCCACGTCACTATTTTTTTGGAGTCGATGTGTCCACCCTTCGTTTTTTGGCCGTTCAAACAGCCTACGTGTCCCAAACTGGAGACACATGATCTTGTTCCGGTCGCGGATTACAGCTTCCACATTCGGCGGTCCAATCAGAAGTTGGAGTACGTCTTGTTGTCGATGCTGTTCCGATCCACCATAATCCAGGGTGGCATATTTGGGACCACCACTGAAGACAGCAATGCAGGATCCCAACATTAGGCTGTTTTCACCACATAACGAAGCCCAACGGTCCGCAATCAGACGATCCACACGGTCATCAGGCTCATTCTGATTTCAGGCGTCTCATCTCAGACTTTTAGTTCGTCTCCGTAGCATCCTTACCATTTTTGCCAGACGAGCTTGGCTCTACCACTTCCGAACCATCACTACCTTCTCACTTGTTCACCGGTCAACCTGGCCTTGGTTCGCGGAGCTTCACAACATCGACCGTGGGAGTTTCTGCCACGTTACCGAGTCAGCATCGCCTGCAGATCTTCGTTTACGATGTCAGGTACAACAATTATCCCTATTTCGTTTTCGAATTGGCAATCTGATCCAATAGAGTACGCGACTACCGCTTCAGTTTCTTTCGACCCCGATCCTGACTATGGCTTTCGCTGTGCTGTTATTTGCAGGACATCGTGGTAACCATGGAATGACCGTGGATCAAGATTGCGTCCTCGGCCTCGTCGCGACGCCAGCTACGACGTGGCTGAAATGTCCTCGATCGACCAGAGGAGCAGAGGAGCAGCTCCACGAGTCGTCCTGGTGAAGGTTGAACGTATCACCTTGCACCACCACTCACCACAGAGCCTTCCCCCGCGGTTAAGGTTTGGTAAAGGTTCGGTATAGGTTCGGTAAATGTCCCCAGGAGGTATTTTTTTTCGGTACAGGTTGGTACTGGCTCTGTGGTGGGGCAGCACACGTTTCTTCACTTCGCAAAGTCTTCATTTCCGTTGCATACTTCAATTCCGTATACTAACTATATATTTTCTACATTCGCAGGTTCTATTGGAGGCTGCGAGGCGTACTTTCGAAGATTAAAGAGGAGCAACGGCCTTCGGGGCTCTCCGTGCTGCATGAAGGACAACAGAGGAGCAGCTCCACGAGTGAAGGTTGAAGTATCAACCCCACGTTCACGCTTCACAGAGCCCCCCCCTGGTCGAGGTTAGGTACAGGTCAGGTATGGTGAAGGTCCAGGTTGGTAAAGGTTTCCCCTGAAGGTTTTTCGGTTGGTATTCGGCTCGGTGTTGCACCAACACATGTTTTTTCCACGCTTCTTTTCGTTTTGCATGCTTTTCTTCCCAAACTTGACTAATTCTCGTTTATTTGTTAACTCGCAGGTTATATGTGAGGGTCTGCTGCGTTTTTCGGAGGAGCAACAGCCTTTGGCGTCCTTCCATGCTTCATGGCGAACAACAGAGGAGAAGCTCCACGGCTGGTGAAGGTTGAACGTATCAACCACACCCTATTCACGCCACAGAGCCGCCTCCCTTGGTTCAGGTTCAGGTTTGGTTAAGGTTGAGGTTGGTAAAGGTCAAGGTCCCCCTAAGGTTTTTTTGGTTGGTATAGGCTCTGTGGCACTTGCACCACACTTGCACCACCGTCCGTTTAGGCTTGCTTTGTTCACTTCTGTCTACTAATCTAGTTCCCTTGATCTCCTTGCAGGTTCTATTTAAGGCCCTTGTGCCACGCTCCAAATGTGCTCAGAGGAGCTCCGCACTTCCAAGCTCCAAGGCGGGGTGAACGTACCTGCCAACAGCACCTGGCAGGTGCCTCCTCTCTCTCCTCCAGCAGTAAGTCTCGTTTTCCTCTTTTTCGTTTTAATCACTTCTGCATGTTGGTACCTTTACCTTTGTTGACGTTTTAACTCGGATTTCCTCACTCTACTTGGCAGGTTGCTTTATCAACGGATTTCACCATGCCCAAGCTCTATGGGAGCACCATGGGCTGCTGAAGCGTTCAAGGCTTAACCATGGCAAGATAAGTCACCAACCCAGCCTTTCTTCCCTTGCTTTCCCAGCCTCAAGCTTGCTGATTCCTTGTTTTCAAGTTGTTTGTCCCTGTTCACTAATTTGTTTTATTTTTCCTCATGGCAGGTTCTCCAAGCGCCATGTACACGCCATGGACCCTCAAGACCTTGCACACCGCTCCACAGTCCAGCAAGCCCAAGATCCACCATGGCCTGCACACGCGCCTCAACACTCAACCATGGAGATAAGTTGTCAACCCCAGCCATTTCCCTTGCTTTATCGTATTACTCTACTGCTTACCTCTTTTGCTTTCACCCTTGCTGGCCTTATGGTTTCTGATCAAGTTGAGCTTCAATTCCCCATTCACTGACGTTTTTTTTTTTTTTTTTTCCACCTCATGGCAGGTTCTCCAAGTGCCCTCTGCACACCCATGGATTTCAAGATTTTGCGCTGCACTCCACACTCCAAGCTCCTTAATTCAAGATAAGTTTCAGCCCTTGCCTCCGAGCTCCTATTTTTATGCATATGGTTTGTTCTTGCAGTAGCCAGCTCCTGATTTTTTTGTTTGCTGATTTGCTTCTTCCTTTTTTGTTTTAAAGAGCCTGCACTAATATGCGTCTGTCTTGGTTTTCTCTGTCTGCAGGTGCCTTCATTGGAAGCAAGGACAGCAGTTTCAGTGGGTGGCCTTGCCAGTGCATGAGAGGGGTTGAAGCAGGGCTAACTTTAGTAAAATGACCCGTCTGATGTCAAGACCGGGTCCTGGCTCCTTGTCTGATTGTCAGACAAAAGTTGTAACATTGTTTAGCTTTTCAGACGAATCCTAAATACCTGTCTGAGATTTCTGAAAAGATACTATCAATACATACATTGGAAAATCTCATCTCAGCCCTAATGGTTCAGCCAGTAGAATAGGGTGTTGTGAAGATTGAGGTTTCCGGTTCGAATCTTGTCTCTTTCTTCTACTAGGCAGGTGCATACATCCTTCGAGAGTTATGCCTTCAGACAAAAAATACTCGATATCTGCAGTCTCAGACGAACTGTATAAGGCTGTCTGAGAAATCAGATGAATAGAAAAAGCTTCTCTTAAAAATCAGACGAAATTAAACAGCATGTCTACGACATCAGATGAACCAGTAAAAATGTGTTCAGATACCAGAAATTCAGACCAAAAATGTCTGATAAAGTAAGCCCTGGGTTGAAGCCTTGAGCATTGGCTGGGGACTCGATTCCGGGCCAAACCGGACTGGCTGTCCCCTCCCGCTCCCGTCAAGTGACAAAGCTGTCTGGCAAGCAGTGATGTCATTTGATGGAGGTGGGGGTGAACAGAGCCAGTCCCTAGTAGGGCACCCGCACGTCTTGGTCCTGGCAATGCTCAAGGCCCAACCTTCTCTGCCTGTGCAGTGCACTGCCAGTCCATGCCGGGGTGGGCATGGATGGCATGCTGCCACTAGAAAAAATGGCAGTAATACATTTTGCTGGGATGCAAGTGCTTGTTACGTATGTCTAGGCATAATAAATGGACCATATTTAGTGCACGTTTATGATCGCGAGCTTAGTGTTTGTAACTTCATACTGTAGTGCTCTACTACCAGAGAATGCAGTTCTCCTGGTATGCAAGTATTGCTGAAAGTATGCAAGGCAATCCCTTCTACGAACAGAGTCAAGTCACACTGAAGAATGTGTTATCGTGAATTACTTTAAGATGCCTTTACCGTTATCCCCGCGCCGTAACCGTTATACCTTATGGTGCGTTTACTTAAAACCCGAGGTCAGCATGGTAAAGTTTCAAGTTATGTGGATTCGAAATAGGCTGTAGGTGAGGGTGTGCGAAACCTATTTCGGTTGTGTTGCTTTGGCGAGAACTTCATTCATCCGCGAGCAATCGAACATTTCGTGCATACCAAACTTGCGATTGCCACAACCCAAAGCGAAAAGTGAGTCGCAAGAAGAGAGGGGGACAGCCAATCATAAGGTTTCGCATACGACGCATATGGAAAGTGTGGCTGCACTAGAAGTCACTGCAAAACTGATTCAACTCGACTGTCATGCCAGTACTACTAGCAACGCCACCTTCTCTAACAAGCTACTAGCACGTGCGGCTCTCCTCGTCCCCCTCACCTTGAGTCTTCGCGTTCCACCCATCCACGCGCAGCACGCCTCGCCTTGAGCCCGCGATCTAGCCGCCCAGCCCGTGATTTAGCTGCCCAGCTCGCGATATAGCCGTTCAGCCCGCGATCTAGCTGCCTAGCCAGCGGTTTTTGCCGCCAAGCCCGCGATTTAGCCGCCAAGTCCGAGATCTAGCCGCCAAGCCCGCGATCTAGCCGCTGAGCAGGTATTTAGCCGACCATCCCGCAATCTTGCCGCAAGGCCAGCGATTAGGCCGCCCGGCGTGCAGCTAGGCAGCGATATCTGCGTACTGCAGGCTTATTTCACGAACTGGCAGCAGAATCCGCACCACAGCAGCGAAATCGGCGCCATAGCAGCGACTTCCGCGCCACAGCAGCGAGATCCGTGCCACAGGAACGGAATCCACGCCATAGCAGCGAAATTTGCGCCACAGCAGCGAAATCCACGCCACAGCAGGCAAAATCCGCGCCACAGCAGCGAAATCCGCGCCACAGCAGGCAAAATCCGCGCCACAGCAGCGAAATCCGCGCCATAGTGGCGACATCCGCGCCGCGGCGGCGAAATTCGTGCCACAGCGGTGAAATCCGCGCCATAGCAGCAGAATCCGCGACACAGCTGCGAAAGCCGCGCCACTGACCAGCCGCGCACGAAATGCGCCGACCAGCCGCGCACCACTGACGACATCTGCGTAACCAGCACGTGCGCAGAGGGGACAAGCACCGAGACTGCCCGCGCCCGCGCTTGCGCCTGCGCCCGCGCCTCCCCCTGCGCCTGCGCCCGCCGAGCAAGCGCGCCAATTGGAGGGAGCTCTCTCGCTCGCTACCCGCGCGGGTGCGCCGTTCCCCCCACCGCGGTTTCCCCCGCGCCTTGCTCCACGCGCGCGGGGTTGGGCGCGCCCGTGGTGGTGGGGGCAATGGTGTTGGACGAGGGAGCGGGCGTGGAGAGGGCGCTGGAACGAGGCACCACCACGCCAGGACAGGTACACGTGCTCCGCGCCCCTGCGCTCTGCGCTCTGCCCCCTGCGCCCTGCCCCCTCCGTCCCCTGCGCTCTGCCCCCTGCGCTCCACCCCCTGCGTTCTGCCCCCTGAGCTCTGCGCTCTGCGCCCTATTCTCTGCGCCCTATGCACTGCGCCCTATGCACTGCGCCCTATGCTCTGCGCCCTATGCTCTGCGCCCTATGCACTGCGCCCTATGCACTGCGCCCTATGCACTGCGCCCTATGCACTGCGCCCTATGCACTGCGCCCTATGCTCTGCGCCCTATGCTCTGCGCCCTATGCACTGCGCCCTATGCTCTGCGCCCTATGCACTGCGCCCTATGCACTGCGCCCTATGCTCTGCGCCCTATGCTCTGCGCCCTATGCACTGCGCCCTATGCTCTGCGCCCTGTGCTCTGCGCCCTATGCTCTGCGCCCTATGCTCTGCGCCCTATGCACTGCGCCCTATGCTCTGCGCCCTGTGCTCTGCGCCCTATGCTCTGCGCACTGTGCTCTGCGCACTGTGCTCTGCGCACTGTGCTCTGCGCACTGTGCTCTGCGCACTGTGCTCTGCGCACTGTGCTCTGCGCACTGTGCTCTGCGCACTGTGCTCTGCGCACTGTGCTCTGCGCACTGTGCTCTGCGCACTGTGCTCTGCGCACTGTGCTCTGCGCACTGTGCTCTGCGCACTGTGCTCTGCGCACTGTGCTCTGCGCACTGTGCTCTGCGCACTGTGCTCTGGTTCCTATTCCCCTTCTCGCCAAGCCTCCACCCGCCCCCGCCCTTTCCAACCCCTACCCCTCATGGTTGTCCTCTTCCTCCCTTTCCCCCACCCGTTTTTTACCTCCCGCATGAGGCAGGGAGGGAGGGCAGGAAAAAGGAATTCGAGGGGGGAGTGTTGTCCACTGCTGCATGTCTCAACCCCTCATGTGTGTCTCACCCCTCCCCCTCTCCCCCTCCTCATTCCTTTCTCTCTGACGGCCGCGCCCTTCCCCTGTTTCTCCTCTCCCCCTCTTTGCTCTGTTTCTCGTCTCTTCCTAACCACTTTTCCCTGCTCCCCCCACCTGCCTACCTGATTTCCATATCTTCCCTCTCCCCTTTCCCCTCACCTCCAACCCCTTACGTGCTCCTCCTGCCACCTCAGCTGACATGCTTCCCCTTTCCCTTCCCCCTCTTCCCCCTCCTCTTCCCTATCTCCCCTGTTTGACTATTTTCTTGTTCCCCCTACCCATATTCCCTCCCTCTCCCTGGCTATTGCAGTGACTACGCTGAAGTCTTTTTCTGGTACTGCAACTCGCCTCAGCCCATCATCCCATGCCATGCTCGTAGAGAAACCAGTTCCCCTCATGTTTTTTTCAATGCCTTGAGAAAGGTACAATCAAAAGTAGTAGGGTGATGCCTCTATGTACGGTACCCTTCTGACACTCTTCGTGTCCATGCATCTTGGAAGAAAATCTTGCACTGCAGAAACAAAAGTACATATTGTGCTTCTGGGATGGATATCTCCAACAGTGTTCTCATACCGTATGGCCCCGGATATAAGCGCAGGCCTATTATAAGCGCATGCGCTTGTATCTGGAGCAATGCGCTTATGGCCGATCCTCATTTATAAGCGCACCCCCTGTAAAACCTTGATTTATTATAAGCGCACGTATAATCCTAAAATTTAAACCAGATTAAAACGGTAGCGATTTCAAATTTTGCAGTGAGGATACAACTATTTTCGCTTCGATTGACTTTCGAGGACCTCACATACTGCACGTCCAGTCAGTATGAGCTGGCATTTCTGATAGTGACGTGTAAATTTTCCCCTGTGCGCCGGCAGAAAATCGCTCACGCGCGAATCTGAATTGCGACTCGCTACCACTTCGATTCGATTGAAATCACAAGAAGGAGATGTACAGTTTGGTGCCAATGAATTATAAATTTGCATTTGTTGTTATATAAGCGCATGCGCTTATAAATCTGACTCAATTATAAGCGCACCCCCCCAAAAAACACTGTTTTATTATAAGCGCAGGTGCGCTTATATCCGGGGTATTACGGTATCATGCTTGCATACAACAGACAAGAAACAGGCAGTGGTATGGTGTAAAGCATCGACTAGCTACGCCTCGGCTTGTTCCTTTGCTTCACCACTGAAAATTAGGGGAGTGGTGTAGGCAGAAAGAATTTCGTGAAGAAACACGGGGGAGGTGGTGTGAGGTGCAAGGGAACAACCGCAAGGGGATACAACAAGCAGAGGCACATGATGAAAGCATGTATGGGGTGACAGTGATGGGTGCACATGAAAAGGAGTGAGGGGGAAGGGGAGGGCATGAAAAAGAAGGAAAGGGTTGAGAAGGGATGGGGAAGGGAAGGGCAGGGCAGGGAGGGAAAGGCAGGGATTGAGAGGGCAGGTAGGGAACAGGGCAGAGGGTGGGGGGAAGGTGAGTGAGAGTGCGAGAGGACGAGTGAGAGAGTGCGAGAGGACTGAGAGTGAGAGAGAGAGTGAGAGGAAGGAGAGTGAGAGTGCGGAAGGAAGGAGAGAGAGAGCGGAAGGACACCTGGGCAGGGAGTGGAAGGACGCATGGAGAGGGAAATTATGGGGGAAAGCAGGGAAGGGGATGGGGGAAGGGGATGGGGGGAAGGGGATGGGGGGAAGCAGGGAACGGGATGGGGGAAGCAGGGAAGCATGGCCGAAGGAGGGACGAAGCAGGGCGGAGGGAGGGGGGAAGCAGGGGGGTTGGAGGGGGGAAGCAGGGAGGAGGGAGGGGGGAAGCAGGTGAGGCAAAGGAGCATAGATTGGGGGGTGAACAGAGCTGGTGGGAGAAAGGGAGGATGGTCAAAATAAAGAGGGGTGTAAACAATTGGGGGGAAGTGAGGTCGATGGGGAGAGGGAGTGAGGGAAGTACCCGCTCTCACCCTCTGTCTCTCCCCCTCGGCCCTTCCCCCTCTGTCTCTCCCCATTTGTCCTTCCCCCTCTGTCTCTCCCCATTTGTCCTTCCCCCTCTGTCTCTCCCCATTTGTCCTTCCCCCTCTGTCTCTCCCCCTCTGTCCCCCCCCCTATTCCTCGCCGCCTGTTCTGTCTCTCCCCCTCTGTCCTTCCCCCTCTCCCCCTTCTCCTTCCCCTTCTGTCCTTCTCATCTCCCCCGCCCGTTCCCTTCCTGTTCCCCGCCCATCAATCATTCTTTCACTGTGACACCATCCCCCCCTCAGCTGTCCATCCCCCTCTGTCTCTCCCGCTCTGCCCCTCACATCAGTATGGAAGGAGTTGCTGCGGCTGGAAGGAGCGAGGGCGTATGGGGGAGTTGCTACACACAATGGTGTCGATGGCGACGTGGGTAGGGGTTGGCGATAAGGACAAACGCTTCCCAATTGGAGTGGCGGAGGGGAAGCGCGCGTGACGAGGGGAGGATAGTGCTTAACGATAGGGAACGCGCGTGGCGAGGGGAGGAAATCGTGCGACGAGCAGAAAGCGCGCGTGACGAGAAGGCACCTGGTGCGTGACTCTCACCTCTATGAGGGCGGGGGGAAACAGGGCGGAGGGAGGGGGGAAGCAGGGGGGATGGAGGGGGGAAGCAGGGCGGAGGGAGGGGGGAAGCAGGGCGGAGGGAGGGGGGAAGCAAGGCGCAGGGGGGGGGGGAAGCAGGGCGGAGGGAGGGGGGAAGCAGGGCATAGGGAGGGGGGAAGCAGGGTATAGGGAGGGGGAAGCAGGGCGGAGGGAGGGGGAAGCAGGGTGGAGGGAGGGGGAAGCAGGGCGGAGGGAGGGGGGAAGCAGGGCGGAGGGAGGGGGGAAGCAGGGCGCAGGGGGGGGGGAAGCAGGGCGGAGGGAGGGGGGAAGCAGGGCATAGGGAGGGGGGAAGCAGGGTATAGGGAGGGGGAAGCAGGGCGGAGGGAGGGGGGAAGCAGGGTGGAGGGAGGGGGGAAGCAGGGCGGAGGGAGGGGGGAAGCAAGGCGGAGGGATGAGGGGAGCATGACAGAAGGAGGGGGGAAGGAGGGCGGAGGGAGGGGGAAGGAGGGCGGATGGAGGGGGGCAGCAGGGCCTAGGGAGGGGGGAAGCAGGGGGGATGGAGGGGGGAAGCAGGGCGGAGAGAGGGGGAAAGCAGGGCGGAGGTAGGGGCGAAGCAGGGGGGATGGAGGGGGGAAGCAGGGCCCAGGGAGGGGGGAAGCAGGGCCCAGGGAGGGGGGAAGCAGGGAGGAGGGAGGAGGGAGGGGGGAAGCAGGGAGGAGGGAGGAGGGAGGGGGGAAGCAGGTGAGGCAAAGAACAATAGATTGCGACTGAATGATTGAGCTGGTGACGAGGGAAGGAGTGCGCGTCACGAGGGGAAACGCGCGTGACAAGGGGAGGAGAGCGCGCATCGAGCGGAAGAGCGCGTGACGAGAAGGCGCGTGCGCGACGAGCGGAAACGCGCGCGACGAAGGGAAACGCATGACGAGGGGAAGCACGGAATCGCAGGCAAGCGAGTGACGAGGGCCAACGCGAGTGACGAGGGCTAACGCGAGTGACGAGGGTTAACGCGAGTGACGAGGGCAGGCGCGAGTGACGAGGGCGGGCGCGAGTGATGAGGGCGGGCGCGGGTGGCGAGGGGGAGCGCGGGTGACGACGAGCGCTAAACGAGGGCCTAAGCATGGTGAAGCTGTCGTTTGCACCAAACGTTCCGTGTGAGTAACGCGACAACGTTTGTAAATATCGGGTGACACTAGGCTTGTGCTGCCCAGCTATTGGCGAGACAGCATGTGTGTCTTGGGAGTTGCTGTAAAAATCGCGGTCCCTAGAACTAGGTGAAGGCGCACTCGCTGTCTACTTACGAGAGGAAGTAGGCCAATCATGAGTACGACTAGGTGTTCAAGATATGTGAGAGCCAAACGGTGGGCCAACCTGAGCGACGTTCGGTTCTGTTTTGCGACTGTGCTCAAAAGCCAATGAGAGAGTGTCGTTAGGCGTTGTCCCAGAGTCGCGAGAGTTTTGTACAAACAAGTAGGGCAACCCTGTTTTTTACGAATTCAAGTTCAAGAATCTTGAACTTGAAAATAACCATGCTGTACTCGGGCTTTAAGCAAAACAATCCCTGCACCGCGCCCATCTCTAGCGACCTTGATCTGGAAGAAATCCGAGTGTGCAAGTGAGCCAGAGAGCCATGGCAGAAAGAATCGCTCTTCGCGCTGCCGCGAGCAATCGCACGAGACACGGTAGAGAGGGTCGACGCGACACCACTAGTCATCGATGTAGGGGAGAGCTACGTAATGCGCTGCCTAATGCGTACATAATGTGCTGCCTATTCGTTACCTATTGGTAGTGCTAATGCGCTACTGCTACTACATCTGACAGCCGTCGCGGCGACGTGGTCGGTTTTGCCGTGATCGCAAATGGGCTTCGCTGGCGTCACCGTCGTCGCAGCGGGGCCATCCCAAAAAAGTTTGGCCCAAAAAGCCCCCCCCAGGTTACCCACAGCTTACCCCCTGGGGGGGTACCCCGGGGTCCTTGTCTAAGTAAGCCGCAGGTGACCTCTGCAGCTTTCACTTCGCGTCGTGACCCCAAGGTTACCCACGGGTGGTGACCCACAGGAGACCCCTCCCAATCCGCAGGAGCGAATCAGACGCGAGACGCGTGCCCCCTTGGATACCAGGGCTAACTTTAGTAAAATGACCCGTCTGATGTCAAGACCGGGTCCTGGCTCCTTGTCTGATTGTCAGACAAAAGTTGTAACATTGTCTAGCTTTTCAGACGAATCCTAAATACTTGTCTGAGATTTCTAAAAAGATACTATGAATATATAAATTGGAAAATCTCATCTCAGCCCTAATGGTTCAGCCAGTAGAATAGGATATTGTGAAGATTGAGGTTTCCGGTTCGAATCTTGTCTCTTTCTTCTACTAGGCAGGTGCATACATCCTTCGAGAGTTTTGCCTTCAGACAAAAAATACTCGATATCTGCAGTCTCAGACGAACTGTATTAGGCTGTCTGAGAAATCAGATGAATAGAAAAAGCTTCTCTTAAAAATCAGACGAAATTAAACAGCATGTCTACGACATCAGATGAACCAGTAAAAATGTGTTCGGATACCAGAAATTCAGACAAAAAATGTCTGATAAAGTAAGCCCTGTTAGATACCTTCCCAACTTGTGGGAACGAATCGTATGCAAGCCGTGCATGTACGCGCTGTGAATGTCTTCAACATTAACAATATTTCAGTACAGTGCAGTTTATTATTAGTAATTAAGTTACAGAGCTTGCTCGTGATATAATTACAAAAGAAATTGGAGCAATCAATTACAGTTGCTATTATCAATTAATATTTTCCAGTTAGCCTCTCACACGGCAATATTTACACAACTAGCAATCACTTGCACTTGCACGATTCCACATTTTATTATCGAAATTGCAGTACAATACAACAAATAACACATTTTCGTCTGCATGACCCAAGTCACATATCACAAAATACAGCACATCACCAGAAAGAAAGTAGCTGACCAAGTTACACCTGAAAGCCAGAGAATCATGTAAAAACGAGGAATAGCACGTCATGTCAAGAGCTCGCCAAAGAAAGCAAAAAACATCACGTTAGCTGGAAACGGCTTACCTACCTGACAGAATAGGAGGCTCGCCACGGAGAGTAGCGAGAAACACACACTGTGATGTAAGGAGAATTGCAATAATGGCGACGTAAAACAGGTCAAGTAAGTGACGCCAATCTCAAAGTTAGCGAACAACGGAATGATTGGAATAGAAACGAATGGGGTACAAATGAGCAACCCTAGAAGCTGTACCCCCTAGAGTGCAACTCACTATAGCCTATCATATCAATGTTCAACATTTGACACACCCCCATAGGCTAAGTGAGGGGCATCAAAGCAAGCAAGGTGAACAAACGGTCACAAGACCAGTCAAAGCAAGAACCAAGGCAAGCTCAGGGTGGATCTCAAGGACACCACACAAATTCCGAGCGCAAGCAAGCGGCCACAAGGCCAGTTCAAGAGTTCACTAGGCCACAAAGCACAACAAGCAGAGCAAGCAACAGGACTACACCAACCGAGGGCCTACCTCAACAAGCCCCAATTGCACACAGAACCTGTGGTGGTCACCAAGCGCCAAGGCCTTGGTGAAGACGTCTGCAGTGTTGGCCTCTGAGGCCACAAAGTCCAGGCGTGCCTGACCGCGTCGCTGCAGCTCTCGCAGGAGGAAGTACCTCACGTCAATATGCTTCACTCTGCTCTCCAGTCGAGGCTCTCGACACAGGAGGATCATGGCCTTGTTGTCAGCGTACAAGGTCGGTGCAGAGCGAGGCCGCTCACCAAGGTCAGCGAGCAAGAAGGTCAACCAGCGAAGCTCCTGTGCCGCCATGGCACCAGCGTATATCTCTGCCTCTGCACTGGAAGTAGCCACAGACGACGACCGTGTAGACCTCCACGACACAACACCAGCTCCCAGACTGAAGCAGTAACCCTGAGTCGAACGCTGAGTCTCCACGTCGTCAGCGTAGGAAGAGTCGCAGTGACCAGTCAACGCCACTGGCTGAGTCCCTCCAAGCACAAGCCCCAAGCCTGATGTAGTCGCCAGGTACTTCGCCACCCTCACAGCAGCTGTCCAGTGGACAGGGCGGTGTCTCCCAGTCGCAACAAAGCGAGAAAGGATGCTGAGTGGAAAGGCGAGGTCCGGTCGAGTACAAGTCATCAGGTACATGAGGCAGCCCACCAGCTCTGCGTAGGGTCCACTGGACTCAAAGGGCTCGTCAGGAAAGGGGCCCGTGAGTCTGTGGTCAACAGCAAGAGGAGTGGGCTGTGTGGTGGAGAACTGGAAGTCGAACCGCCGAAGGACCTGCTGCACCATGTGTGACTGCGTCAGTGTGATGGTGCGAGCGGCTCTGTCCCGGGTGATCTGCAGGCCAAGGTAGCGATGCAGCTCACCCAGGTCAGTGCACTTGTGTCTCTTCTGCAGTTCGGACTTCACCTGAGCCAGGGCTTCCCTGTCTGCTGTAGCAAACACCAAGTCGTCGACGTAGACAAGGATAAAGAAAGGAGTAGAACCCGCTCGAACAAACAGCGACGGGTCGGCGGAGGACGGGCTGAACCCAAGGTCACGAAGCGTGGAGCGAAGAGTGTCGTGCCACTCACGGGGCGACTGGCGGAGACTGTAGACTGGTCGCCTCAGGCTCCACTGGGTCCCAGGTGGGAAGGTGTCAGTGAAGCCAGGAGGACGGCGCAGCCAGATCTCCTCGTGCAGTCGGCCCTGGAGGAACGCAGTGGAGAAGTCGAGGGAGTGCAGCTCGTAGTCTCGCTGCGCTGCTATGTGGAGTAACACCCGAAGAGTAGTCATCTTCGGGGTCGGGGCGAAGGTCTGGAAGAAGTCAACTCCCTCACGCTGACTGAAACCCCTAGCCACGTAGCGCGCCTTGAACACCGGCGGTGCTCCAGGCGGCCGCTTCACCTTGAAGAGCCACATGCCATCGACTACGTTCGCCCTGGGAGGGGGAACTGCGTCGACGTAGGTGCCTGTGGATCTCCAAGACGCCAACTCTGAGTCCATAGCCGCTTTCCACTGAGAGGCCCACGCCCCTGACACTGCCTCGCGGTAAGTGCGAGGAGTCGGTATGTCAAGGGCGTCGGGGTCTCCCTCAGGGGAGAGCAGCATGGCACACACAGAGGGAGAAGCGGCTGCCCAGTACTCCAGCTCAGACTCTCTGTCCTCTAGGACGTCACAGCCAAGGGCAAACCCACCCCCGACGGACAGAGGACGGTAGGGAGGAGCTGGCACCACACGGGTGGCGTGGTCAAGGCGGCTGGCGGCAGCAAACTCAGCGACAGCGGCAGTGAGAGCCGAGACAGACGACGGAGGGAAACGAGGGTCGGTGACAAGAGTGGTGAGGACACGTGCGGCAACAGGACGAACAGCGCGGTAGTAGTCAGAGATAGGAGTGGGGAGTGCAGGTAGAGAGGACGGAGGAGGAGACGGGAGAACGGACACAGGAGAAGGAGAACGACGACGAGACGAACAAAGGAGGGCAGTGTGGAGGTCAGTAACAGGGGACGAGTGACGAGCACGCGGAGGACAACGAGTGATCAAGTCGCGACGGACAGAGGGAGGAGGAGACTGAGGAGGAGGAGAAGACCAGACCGCCGGACGGTCGTCAGGAGGAGGCAACGGAGGAACAAACACAGGAGGAGACTGGGAGCGGACAGGAGGAGAGGAGGAAAGGCCAAGGGCTCGCAGGCCACTCACAGGTGGGAACAACCGCCGCTCTAGAGGAAGCTGCGGTGGCGGCTGCGGCCGCTGCGGCTGCGGCTGCGGCTGCTGCTGCTGCTGCGGCTGTGGCTGCGGCTGCGGCTGCTGCTGCTGCTGTTGCTGCTGCTGCTGCCGCCGCTGCTGCTCCAGAAGGTCCAGCACCCGCAGCTCCTGCCGCTCCCTCTCCAACCGCTCCTGCTCCTCACGCTCGCGCCGACGGGCAGCCTGGAGACGCGTGTCGTGGCGGTGGGGGGGCGGGGTGGACTCCGCAGAACCAGGGTCTCCAGCGTCAGTCTCCTCAGACTCAGCACCCCCAGAACCAGTACCGCCAGTGCCAGGACCTCCAACTCCAGCACCCCCAGAACTAGCACCGCTAGTGCCAGCACCCCCAACTCCAGCACCCCCA